AAGATCTCTGTCAAGCTTTCTTACAACTACAATACCCACCTGCAGAAGTAAAGAAACAGATTGATAGAGCCAGAAGAGTTCCCAGAAGTTACCTACTACAGGACAGGCCTAACAAAGAAAATAACAGAACGCCACTAGCAGTCACCTTCAGCCCCCAACTAAAACCCCTCCAACGCATTATTAAGGATCTACAACCTATCCTAAAGGATGACCCAACACTCTCACAAGTCTTGGGAGACAGGCCAGTCCTTGCCTACAGACAGCCCCGCAACCTGAAGCAAATACTCACCAACAACCACATACCACACAACAGAACCACTAACCCAGGAACTTATCCTTGCAACAAAGCCCATTGCCAATTGTGCCCACATATCTATTCAGGGGACACCATCACAGGGCCTAATAACATCAGCCACACTATCAGAGGCTCGTTCACCTGCACATCCACCAATGTGATATATGCCATCATGTGCCAGCAATGCCCCTCTGCCATGTACATTGGTCAAACTGGACAATCTCTACGTAAAAGAATAAATGGACACAAATCAGATGTCAAGAATTATAACATTCATAAACCAGTCGGAGAACACTTCAATCTCTCTGGTCACGCAATCACAGACATGAAGGTCGCTATCTTAAAACAAAAAAACTTCAAATCCAGACTCCAGCGAGAAACTGCTGAATTGGAATTCATTTGCAAATTGGATACTATTAATTTAGGCTTAAATAGAGACTGGGAGTGGCTAAGTCATTATGCAAGGTAGCCTGTTTCCTCTTGTTTTTTTCTACCCCCCCCCCCCCCAGATGTTCTGGTTTAACTTGGATTTAAACTTGGAGAGTGGTCAGTTTAGATGAGCTATTACCAGCAGGAGAGTGAGTTTGTGTGTGTATGGGGGTGGGGGGATGTGAGAAAACCTGGATTTGTGCAGGAAATAGCCCGACTTGATTATGTAAAGAGTTGTCACTTTGGATGGGCTAGCACCAGCAGGAGAGTGAATTTGTGTGGGGGGGTGGAGGGTGAGAAAACCTGGATTTGTGCTGGAAATGGCCCACCTGTTGATCACTTTAGATAAGCTATTACCAGCAGGACAGTGGGGTGGGAGGAGGTATTGTTTCATATTCTCTGTGTGTATATAAAGTCTGCTGCAGTTTCCACGGTATACATCTGATGAAGTGAGCTGTAGCTCACCCCAAAGGTCGGTCGAAAAGCTCATGCTCAAATAAATTGGTTAGTCTCTAAGGTGCCACAAGTACTCCTTTTCATATTAAAGAAGTTCTGTATTAAAATCACAAGTAAGTTTGATTCCTCATAGTTTAAATTCTAGGGCATTACTAATTAAGAGGTCTCTTGGTTTGGGTTTTTTTTTGTTTGTTTGTTACTGTTTCTCTCCCTCTCTGTGTGAAACTTGCAAGCTGCTAATTGTGTTAGAGAGAGACTCAAAGTGATACTTTGTAACAACAGAAACAGCACACAGAGACTCCCCACCCTTCTGTTGTATTTATCTCGCTTCGTTAACAATTGTGATTAAAATAGAGAGAGAGGATCTATGTGGATGGATGCTTAGTGTAGATAATGAATGAATGATCAGGGAGGTGCCAGCCTAGGAGTTCAGTATCAATCAGCCGAAGAATGCGCAGAGTGGAGACAATCAGAGGACCCCCCCCCGGAGGGCAGACTGGAATCCACCCAACAGCCTCAAGGATGGGAGAACTGAAGAACAAGGTAACATCTGGCAGCACTGAGCGGTCAGGAATGTGACATCTGCTGATTGATTCAGCACCAGCATGATGAAGCAATTCCCATAGACTGGCATAGGAAGAAATTCCTATAAAAATGGACTCTAGAAACTGAGAACTCTGAGTCTGGTTCTGCTATCCCCCTCCAGGAGCATCGGATGCGCATCTGACGAAGACTCGGCTCCATCCTCATGCCCAAGTTACCTGGCCAGCAACTTGGCATGAGGAACCTCTAGGCTGGTTTCAGAGTAGCAGCCATGTTAGTCTGTATTCGCAAAAAGAACAGGAGTACTTGTGGCACCTTAGAGACTAACCAATTTATTTGAGCATAAGCTTTCCTGAGTTACAGCTCACTTCATCGGATGCATTCCTTGAAGTGAGCTGTAGCTCACAAAAGCTTATGCTCAAATAAATTGGTTAGTCTCTAAGGTGCTACAAGTCCTCCTGTTCTTTTTGCGAACCTCTAGGCTGGTAACTATAACAAATTTGCAAAACGTGTGTGTGTGTGAATGAGCGTGTGAATGAATGTGAAACTGAATGAAATGTTATAGCTATAACTGACTGCCTCCTAAGATTCTTTTTGTATTCACAATAAATGTGACCTTTTGTCTTATCCCCTTTAATAAGATCCTGCTGGGTTTTATTTTATTGGTATAACAGACTGACAGCTCAGTTAGAAGCTCTGATAATGAGAGAGCAAAAGTTTTAGGAGAAATTTTCCCGGGGGGAGTAATGATGAAAATCAAAGTGAAGTTTTCCACCAGATTAAAAGACAATTCATTACCTGACAGACACAGGGCAGAATGAGAGAATATAAACTGCTAAGTATTAAGAATTATAATTGGTGGCAGCTATGGACTGGTCAGTCAAGTCTGCTTCGCCATAGAAAAGAGCAAAAAGAAAGACAAAGCAAAAGTTACTGCATGAGAGTTACAGAATGAGAGGGGAAGGTTGCCTGGAGGAGACAATGGAGTACGTTAGACAGGTACAGAGGCTGATCTGGCAAGGCAGTCTTTGTTCTTTTATAATTGCTATTTATTTACAATGAATGTTGGTACTTCGGGGGCTGAACTTCTCTGCGTCCTGCTGATCTGGCTGGGCAGCCTGGCCATTGTGTGGCAGCATTGTCCTAGGACAGTGGTTCCCAAACTTCAACAGCCTGTGAACCCCTTACACTAAATTGTGAAATCTCATGAACCCCCTCCTAAAAATGAATATTTCCAGGGATTTAAGTTTAAATTTCCTCCTCACTCTGTGGGGCTCCTACTGCTGGACCCCGTTGACCGCCCTAGTCAACTGAGCTTCACTGAGCTCGGGCTGCAGGTCCTGCTGACTGCCGGGGCTGGGGCTGCCAGCCCAAACTACCTGGGCCCACTCTGCCTGGGGCTCGGGCTGTCTGCCCTGCAACTGGGTCCCACCTGCTACCTCCAATGCCCGGCGTCCTCTGGCTGCCATTAGTGACATTTTTTCTGGCCACCCCCCTGTAACATTCTGTGAACCCCCAGGGATTCGTGAACCTCAGTTTAGGAACTACTGCCCTAGGAGCTCATGTTTAGTTGTTTGTCAGCTATGAGCCCTAAATCCTCATCCAAGCTCTGTTCCTGCCTGCAGCCTACATCGTGTGGATGTGATTTGCACTGGTGTAAATCAGGGGTGGCTCCAGGAAAGTTATAGACCTGCACTGGTATGAGTGAGATCAGAATCTGGCTATCTACTCTATCTAAGGGCTGAATCCTGCGCTGGCTGCCCTCTTCCCCTGCCCCCACTGAAGTCTGTGACATAGGCGCTGATTTTCTAATGTGCTTCGGGGTGGCTTCCCAGGTTCCCTCCACTCCACCCCTTCCCCAAAGGCCGCCCCCTGCCTCTTCCCTCCCTGTTCTTCCCCCTCCCCCGAGTGTGCCCTGCCCTCGCTCCTCCCCCATCACCCCCCAGTGCCTCCTGCACACCGCAGAACAGCTGATCCACAGCGGGTGGGAGGTGCTGGGAAAGAGGGGGAGGTGCTGATCGGCGGAAGTGCTGGGGGGAAGAGCGGATACGGGGGGCTGCCAGTGGATGCTAAGCCTTGCTAAGCCTTTTTTCCTTCTTCAGTGGGTGGAGCACCCACGGAGTTGGTGCCTATGGTCAGCAGGCTCTCACAGGATGTGAGTCAACAGCATAGCATCTGGCCCTGTCTAATGTATCCATCCTAGGTATTTCTAAAGGTGCCCATCACCATGGTATTAAAGTGCCCATTGCAAATGATACTGGGCAGAGCTCTGTCTCTCTGCTGGGGTTGCTCAGTCCCTTTCTAGACCTTGCTCTAACCTCACTTACTCATGTCAATGCCATAAATCCCAGCCCGGTATGCATACAGCTGCTGCCTTGCTGAATTAGCCTTGCACATTGTACAGAATATTGAAGCCAGATGCTTCTTCCACAAGGGAGACCTGGAATGATGCGGCGTGAGGGAGTATTGGAATGCTTGATTCATTCTGCAGCTGGCTGCTAGGGAGGCATTCACCTTATGCTCTCCATTACCTAAAAACCCAACTGTTCTTGACTCATCCCTGCACACCCCACCCTGCCTCCATAGGGAGCCGCTCTCAGAAACTTAACTGTGAATGGGCCTTTCCTCTGTCATTACTTTGAAAGATGAACACAGCGAGAGAGGGCTGGGGGAAGGGGGATTCCCAGGGAAGTGTCTGGGGAAGGACGGCCTAGTGGTTAGGGGGCTAAATTGGGACCTGTTCAGGCACAGGCAGGAGAGTATGTGCCCCTATTCCAGGGGCATTCACCTGGGATATGGTAGATCCAAGTTCATGTCCCTCCTCCAATGAACGAAGCAGAGTGGCTCTAACAGGACAGTTTGAGACAGCCCCACCTGCAGGAGCCAATAGGCTGGTGGTTCAGGCACTTGCCTAGGGGGAGAGACCTGGAGATCAGGTCCCGGCTCCACATCAGGCAGGATGAAAACACGGCTCCTGTATCTCAAGTGAGTGTCCTGATCTCTGGGCTATTGACTACACTTTGTGAATCTTGTCCTTAAGTCCCGCCTCTTTCCTCTGCTTTTCACTCCTGCCTAGCTTAAGCAGTTCCCTACTCAACTTGCTGGCTTCTGAAGATCCCTCTGAGTATGTCTACACTGCAGTGGAGGGGTGGGGCATGTGACACTGGCATACCAGATGCCAGCTCATGCCTAGGCCCCAACTGAACACTGACACATGGTGGTAAGATGTTGGTTGATGTTTGTCTAAGTGAGTGTGTTCCCTTTTTTGCTGTCCCAGCCCTGCACAGACAGCTGGCACGACAGAACTCAAGAAAACCGCTCAATGACCACAAGATCCGTTAAGGGACAAAGGCATCCAGCCAGGTTTATTGTTGATGAAGCACGGTACTAGTATCCCACAAACTCTACTGGACCACTAACACATGTATGCCCATAACAATGGACCAGCTCAGTGAACGGTGGGACTTTCCGTTCCTCCCTAGGCCAGACAAAGACACTCCCTCTGAGATGCATCTTTATACCCTGATACAAACAAGTTACGTACTGCCCCTCTGATATAGTTACTGCCCCCGACGTGGCTAGTTATTACCCATCACCTTGTACACGTTGGTTGGATTAAAACATCTCTGTTGTGTACTGTCATCCTGACCTTATCTTTGAGGAGGGGTCAGTATGTTCCTGTTATCCTTGGGGGATGTTTTTGTACCGTCGTTGATATTGGGATGTTCTGGTACCACTTGATATCGCGATGTGTTTGCGTGAGAACTCTGTGACTAGCACATCTTAGGAATATGCACATCTTAGGATATGCAATATCAGCCCTGCTCTTGCCAGATTCTGTGAGCAGGTCCTGCCTCATACCAGGCCTCTGATACAAGGGCTTCTGTCTCAGGCTCTCTTCCTAGGACAACACATACATGGCTGGAAATCTGTCTGGCTCCCCTGTGTATTAGTATTGTTAAAACAGGTATTTGATTTATAAAAACGTGTTCCATGTTTATGAAATGCTTGTAGGATGCCGCATGTATTAGGCCTGGTCTACACTGCAGAGTTAGGTCAACGTAAGGCAGCTGATGTCGTCCTAACTCTGTAAGCGTCTACACGACAACGTTGCTCCTGCTGATGTAACTCCACCTCCACAAGCGGCATGCTGCTCAGGTCAATGTAGCTAGGTCTACACCGTGTCAGTGTGGACACTGTGTTACTTATATCTGACTGTTCCAGTTGTCAGCCCCTGGTGGTTGACAGCTGGGGTCCTGCCACCTGGGGCTGACAGTGCCTCACAATGCCCCACAGTTAAATTGGTGCAAACCCTCCTGGTGAGGATGTGCACTGCCAACACAAGGAATGTAGTGTGGACATGCAAAACTGATTTAATTACAGTAGTGACTGTACGTCAGCGTAACTTACATTGACTTAATTTTGTAGCATAGACTTGTCCTTAATCTCCCTTTCTGTACCCCATGGTATAAGGTAATATTAAGTGTTTGCAGTGTAAACCTCTGTAACTGTGTCGCTCACCAAACAGGAAATCATTCATTAATGTAAAGGCTGGCTTCCTATGGAAGGAGTTAAGGCCTGCCCACCAGAAGGCCCATTGAAACTGAATGAGCCATTGTGAAACCGAGACTTTGGTGATTGCTCCCCCCACACCCATGAAGAGGAGACTTGCATAAGGACTCATCCCATCAGCCTGAACTCGGGGAATAAAAATCCCTGACAGGAAGAAACTGGGTCTCTGTGCTGCTGGAGAGGGCAAGATTTCTAAGGAAGGGATCCCCAGTGCTTGGCCTGGGTTAGCCCAGGAGGACATACAGAGATTGCACATTACAACAGCTTCTGTTACCTTTTGAAACCTAAGACTGTAACTCATTTGTGTGTCTGTTTATCTGCTTTACCCTTGTAAATAACTCTTATGTATTTTTCTTACTAAATTAATTAAATTTCTTAACTATAGGATTGGCTACCATCATTGTCTTTGTAGGATTTAAGCAGCACTTGACCTGGGATAAGTGACTGCTCCTCTGGGACTGGGAGTAACCTGAACATAGCGATGATTTTAGGTGTAAGGGACCATCTATCACAAAGGCAGGCTTACCTGGGTGTCCCTAGCCTCTGTTTGCTGGTGTCCCTAGCCTCTTTTTGCCAGAAGCTGGGATTGGGTGACAGGGCACGGGTCACTAGATGATAACCTGTCCATTCGTTCCCTTTGGGGCACCTGCCATTGCCCACTGTCAGAGGACAGGATACTGGGCTAGATGGACCTTTGGTCTGACCCAGTGTGGCAGTTCTTATGTTCTTAAGACAGCCGGAATGCCCAAGGGGACAGTCTGTGACTGCAGATTAAGGCTGTTATCGTGCCTGAGGAGTTCACACTTGCTGCTTGGTTGGTGAAATCAAAATATAGAACTCGGTGCCCGTTTGGGTTTGTGCCCTGGTTTGGAGCAGTCTGCCCTGAGGCTGGTGCAGTGTGGTGCCTTTTCCTCATGCAGGGTGGCTGGGCCATATGTAGAGGCTGAGCCTGCTCTAGCTTTGGCCAACAGCTGAGTCCGTTAGCTCAGGCCGTAGAGGTTCGTGCTTTAAGAGCCAGCAGATCCAGGTTTGGTTCCCACAGTTAAGCCCTCGCTCAGGGGCACAGAATTTTGAATGGGTGATATCTGAAGTTTAAGATGACCCCCTCAGCAGCATGCTGTCACAGGTGTGGCAGGCAGCAGAAAGGAAGAGTCCCTTGTGCTGCAGATCCTGTCTTAACAAGGTTTGTCAGCACAGGCAAAACAGGTTGTCTCCAAGTTCTTGATAGAAAAATTATGAGGAGGAGCAGGAAGGGAACTTCGACTTTTATGGGCTAGAGTCTTAAACACAGTTTCCAAACAGGACAGTTTCCATCGCGGAAACAGGCTAGCATGGAATTATTTGGCAACTGCCTGTGAACTCCACCTGTCATGCAGGATGGGGAGAGAATCTGGAATAAGACCCAGAGGTTATTGTTAGTTAAGACACAGGAGGGAGGGCATACTAACATTGTAAAACAAAGCAACATAGGTTCTGAAAAATGCTTTTTATTCTCCGTGGCTTATTGGTGTATAGCAAAGGGTGCTGCTGATTTAATATAACTAATAGAACTGAAAAGATAAGAGAATCCGTGGAATATGGTGCATCTGAAGGGAGGCAGGTGAAACTGAAATGCAATGGCATACTCCCGTTCTATTTGCAGTGGTGAATAAATGTTAGACCCAGAGGAGATATTCTTTACAAATGAGGCTGGTCAAAAAAAAAAAAAATTTTAGTTTGAAATTTCCATGGAATGTTGAAAATCAAAAAAATTAAACAGGAAACACTCGGGTTAAAATTTCTCCTTGCTTCTCAGCCAATTGGGTGAAATATTTTGAATTTTGCAATTTTCAATTTTCAAACCTCAAAAACACAGGGAGAAATTAAAAACAAAATACTCAATGGTGGTCCCTTCTCTTAACCAGCCCATAGTTCCAAAGTTAGCCTAACAGGACCCCATTTCTGTGACTCCTTTCCCTTTGTGCTTTTGCCAAGTAGTTTCAAGGAATCCTTTTCAGAACAGAGGTTGTTCAAACACTGTTTGCTTTGATTATATGGCATTTGCTATTTACTGTTCTCACACATGCATATTTGCATGGCATTGTTTGATTGGATGACTGAACGACTTTAAAGTGGGAGAATACAAATGATAGATTTTTGGTACAATTGTTTGATTAATACATATTTGTGCTAAAACTTGTGATGCCTTTGGGATCTGCAGATATTTTTATAATTACCCAGCAGATACCCAGCTGCCCCATTCGCAGAGACCCAGGTGAGCTGTCCTGGTCATGTTCTTTGTATTAATGAAACAAGAGCTTGTATGGAACAACTAAATGACAGAGACAAACGCCTACAAGATCTCTATCAATCATTCTTACAACTACAATACCCACCTGCTGAAGTGGAGAAACAGATCATAGAATCATAGAATATCAGGGTTGGAAGGGACCTCCAGGAGGCCATCTAGTCCAACCCCCTGCTCAAAGCAGGACCAATCCCCAATTTTTGCCCCAGATCCCTAAATGGCCCCCTCAAGGATTGAACTCACAACCCTGGGTTTAGCAGGCCAATGCTCAAACCACTGAGCTATCCCTCCCCCCAGATTGACAGAGCCAGAAGAGTACCCAGAAGTCACCTACTACAGGACAGGCCCAACAAAGAAAATAACAGAACGCCACTAGCCGTCACCTTCAGCCCCCAACTAAAACCTCTCCAACGCATCATCAAGGATCTACAACCTATCCTAAAGGATGACCCATCACTCTCACAGATCTTGGGAGACAGGCCAGTCCTTGCTTACAGACAGCCCCCCAACCTGAAGCAAATACTCACCAGCAACCACACACCACGCAACAGAACCACTAACCCAGGAACCTATCCTTGCAACAAAGCCCATTGCCAACTGTGCCCACATATCTATTCAGGGGACACCATCGTAGGGCCTTATCACATCAGCCACACTATCAGAGGCTCGTTCACCTGCACATCTACCAATGTGATATATGCCATCATGTGCCAGCAATGCCCCTCTGCCATGTACATTGGTCAAACTGGACAATCTCTACGTAAAAGAATAAATGGACACAAATCATATGTCAAGAATTATAACATTCATAAATCAGTCGGAGAACACTTCAATCTTTCTGGTCACGCGATTACAGACATGAAAAACTTCAAAACCAGAGTCCAGTGAGAGACTGCTGAATTGGAATTAATTTGCAAATTGGATACAATTAACTTAGGCTTGAATAGAGACTGGGAGTTGTTGAGTCATTACACAAAGTAAAACTATTTATCCTTGTTTATTTCCCCCCCCACACACACTGTTCCTCAGACGTTCTTGTTAACTGCTAGAAATGGCCCACCTTGATTATCACTACAAAAGGTTTCCTCCCGCCCCACCCCCGCACTCTTCTGCTGGTAATAGCTCATCTTAAGTGATCACTCTCCTTACAGTGTGCATGATAAACACCCATTTTTTCATGTTCTGTGTGTATATAAATCTCCCCACTGTATTTTCCACTGAATGCATCCGATGAAGTGAGCTGTAGCTCACAAAAGCTTTTGCTCAAATAAATTGGTTAGTCTCTAAGATGCCACAAGTACTCCTGTTCTTTTTAACTAAATGAATGATTACATAACTGGAACACACTTGCAGTTCATTTCAGGCTGCTGCTCAGCCTAGTGTCTTAGGCCCCAACTTCCCAAAATGGAGGGTGATTCTGCACCCCACCCCATATCCTTATTGTGGTGTTATTGGGGACTGTGTTGGAATTGCAGGCTATTGCTTTGAGTGTGTGTGTGTGGGGGGGGGGGTGTCTGGTCCAGCTTGCATGCTCGGAGGCTCTGTAGGGAAGTGTTCATGTATGCAGTCCCTCTATACAGAGGCAGCCTAGTGTAAGGAGGGGTGAGTTGTGTCTCTCTGTTTTAGGGAGCAGCCTGATTTTTCTTTCCCTGTTTTGGGTTCTTAGAATTCAGCACAATACATAAGAAATAAAGTCATGTTATGTTGCAACCTTCCAGCAAGAGTATTTATGTTTGTATCTAATGCTTCAGTGTAGATTCCATGAACATAATACAGCTTAACAGCAGCTGCTCCACACACTGGCTTGAAGCATGGAATGGTGATGTCTTTGGTCATAGACTGGCTGCCTGTGGTTTTTGTGGCTAGCAAATTGTCCAGAACAGTAAGGTCATAGTCCTTTTAAAAACATCGCCTTGGGCTCTTTTCAGTGCCAGATTAAACAACTAAATATTCCCTGCACAGAAATGCCAGCCAAAAGTAACGATTGTTCCTTGCGGGGCATGAGCCTCTCTGCTCCCAGCCTACAGGACTCATTCAGCAAAGCCCAAAACAAGAGGAGCTGAACAAAAGGTGCCTGATCCCAGGACAGGTCAGAGCTCAACAAGAGGGTAGCCTCCCCCAGTCATCCTCTTCCATCTTATTGTTCCAGTTTGCTCTGCCCTAAGGATCCTTCAGTCCTTACTCAGGCAAAGCTCCCACTGACTCTAATGGTGGCTTTGCCAGGCGGCAGGCCTGAGCCCTAAAATATCTGTGACTCTCAGCCAGCTAGGAAAGGCTTCTATGATCAGCCAGCCATTGATCCTACACAACACAGGCCAGAGACGACCCAGGCCTGCCCAGAGTGGGGGGGAATGGTGGTCAGAGTGAGGGCAGCTGGCTTCAGCAGAGTTACATGCTCTGTACAAGCAGAGAGGCACATCTGGGAGGGCATATGACCCCACATGCCCACCCCACGTCACTTTCACCCGCGGATTCCAGCACCTAGCCTGACAACGTGTAGTTGAACTGAACCCATAGGGATCTTTTAGCCAGCCACGTTCCCCCTGTAACAATTGCTGTAGCTGTCCGGTGAAAGGAGGAGCCTTTTCCGCCACAGCCCGAGGGGGGCCCGTAGACAGCACCACAGGGAAGGGGCTCACTTTTTATCAGCGTGGTGGGGAAGAGCTTCCTCTCATGGAGCTAGAGATGCTGGGGTGCTGAAGTGGCTTCCATCATATCCAGGGGTTACAGTTTGGTTCAACGGCTCCCAGCACCCCCCACAAATTGTTCCAGCGCCCCGCCCTTGCCGTGGATCGCATTGGGCCAACCGCTCTTCCGAGAGCACACGCGGAGCTCTGCTTTGCCATCGCGCCGCAGAGCCAACAACCAGCGCCTGCGTCTAAGCGCGAGAACTGCTGTGAGATTACGGCTCTTCCTGGCCTCGGGGAGCTGCCACTCGCGGTGGGCGAGTCCAGTCGGCGCCAGCTGGTCCCTATGGCTGGGCTTGGAAGGGGTGGGGGGTTTTTTTTTTGTTTCTTTCTTTTGTTTGTTTGTTT